TAAACTCTGCAGCAAAGTGGATCTCGTGGGCCAGATTTGAGGATCTCTGCTCTAGAGAAATGCAGTCCATCAGTCAGTAGAACTCTTGAATTCTCGCCTTGCTTGAACATCTAAATAACAACATTAAGGTTTAATGCAGAAGCACATCTATAATGTAGAAAGTACAAACCACAGATCTCGGCATCGCTATGCTTCAGTGAAGGTCAAAGAAAGCTGTACTTTTTCCAGCAATGCAGGAATCTAAATACTTGTAAATAAATGAATAAAATGCATCTCATTACAGATATTTTTATTGTACCTTGTCTCCTGTAGCCAGTGAAATTTGAATGTTATCTCCTCTTTGTAAGAATCAAACGCACGCCTCTTTAAATAAACCAGTTTTGCATTCACACGACCACTGGTTTTGAAAATGGAGTGAGATCTAATTTAGCTATAACTGGGTTTCTGTTCTCATTTCTTTAACACAATTAGTTTGAACCGCTGTCTGCTTGAATATCAATGTACTTACACTATTAATTATTATTATTATTATAATTTGGAATGATGCAAATGTGAAAGCGAAGTTAACCCAGAGCGCGTTGCGTTCATATTACATATTAAACTTTACTGAAACAAACCAATACCATTTTCCTAGATCATCTCAATTCCGTTTGCTTAAAAGTGCAGAATGAAGTAGATTTTGCAAACACAAACGAAATTTCATCTGAAAATTTAAATCATTTTGATTTGCTTTAAAGTGGTCTGACTTCATTTAAAGAATTTTGATTTACTTTAAAGTGGTCTGACTTCATTTAAATCAATTTGGTTTGCTTTACAGTGGTTTGACTTCATTTAAAGTATTTAGATTTGCTTTAAAGTGGTCTGACTTCATTTAAAGCGTTTTGATTTATCTAGTTGTGTGTCTAGTTAATCTACATTTTCCCCTTCTGCTTCCAGATTCCTCGTGTTCGTCCTCTGAGCGACGTTGTGCAGACGGCTCCTGTATTCCCGCGTCATCTTGGTGTAATCAGATCATCGATTGCGCTGACGCATCGGACGAGAAAATCTGTAGTAAGATTAGCATGTGTGAAGGCGCTAGCCTGTTCGCACTACTGGCGGTGTATGTTTGTTTGTCACTTAACGTGTGAAACACTCGTCTCATTGTCCTCTCTGTGTTTCCAGATAGCACAGACTGCATGGAATACTACAGACTGGGTTCTCGCGCCAGCAACAATGAGAGGTTTCTAAGCTGCAATTCCACGTCGCTGTGTGTTCATCCCTCCTGGATCTGTGACGGAGCCAACGACTGTGGGGATTACGCAGACGAAATACACTGCCACGGTAGAAATGCATTTGCATTCTCTCCCCCGGTCTGTCTTTTTCTTGTTTGTGTTCAAAGTACAATGTTGTCACGTTAAGAATGGAAAATAGCACTGGGAACAAAGGGAATTTTTACAAAGTTTGCATTGCGGTGCAGTGACGGCTCACATTCCCAGAGCTTTTTATGAAGCTCTGAAACATGGACTTTTTTGACTCCATCACACTGAGTCCTGCCAAATATTTGACAGTAATATACTTAGATATTTTTGATATACGTAGAAATCTCAGGACCTACTGAGAATATTTAGTGACTTAATAAGCCCTTGTGGCTGAGTGAAACACAACTCTGGAAGTCGATGAGTATGTAGACATTTTTTTTCTGGAACTTTACAGTCCTGTCAGAATTTATGAGTTGAGCGCAAATTAATGACATTGCAACGTCATAATTAAAAGTTGGAAACTCTGGATTTTCTTTGAATGAAAGAATCATGGTAGAAGCAGGTTGCTAATGATCACATGTGAATTTTAATTGTGACTTGTTGACGCTACAGTTTCATTTATACACATTCTGACTGATTATGTATATTTTTACGCAAGTGCCGGAAGTGATCTCTTGCACGTATACGTCACTCATTGTTTACACAGTGCACAGTCATTGTAGGTACGACGGCTAATCAAAATGGTACTTACTTGCGCTTATCCGGATTGTTCAAACCAACTTAAAACTAAAATAGTTCTCTCGCGCGAACTCATTCGGGAGTGGTGACTTTCCATGTATACCCAACTTCTGAGCCTGCTCGCCTGAAGTTATGGTTGATTGCTCTTCGGCTGGATATCAACACACCCATTAACG